GGGCGAGGGGGACGCAAGCAACCCGATTCTAGTCCACTCCAAGCTGCTGCTGGAGATGTTGTTGGGGGTCGGGGTGGGGAGCGTCCACGGGGCCTGACTTGGTTCCCAGCTCCTCCTCCCATCCTTTAGAAGCTGGCTTCCCCACCTGGCCAGAAGCATGGGCACAGACCCCTTGGGCTGGGACCAGTTAGAATGACTCACCAAAGGGTGTGGGAGATTATGGGCAGAACACCCAGGGGCCTGTGCCCTCCCCCAATCCACACAAGAGCTTCTGAGGACACCGCCCAAACCCCCAACTAGGTGAGACTTCTGTCTCACCCAACTTCTAGAGTGAGGTTGAGCGGGGGCGGGGCCGGGGGCGGGGGGGCGCTGTGGGTGGGGAGGTTCAAGTCCCAGACTTGAGCTTGGAAACCCAAGTCCCAAAGCTCCTGCTCAGAACCCAAATCTTTCCTCTCCGTTACCCTCAGGATTGCCAGCCTCAAGATCCAGTCCTGTGGTTCCTGGCCCCTCCCTGTCCCAATATTCAGGGTTCCCAGGCGGCTTCCCACACCCCATCCCCCACGCTCTTTTGCACGTGCTAACCAGTTTATATCCCACAAAACCCACACACATCCCAACAGTGGAGAGGTGAGAGGATTCCTTTCGACAGCCCTTCCAGGCAAGGGCAGTGGGTAGTGGGAGACTGGGGAGAAGAGGAAGAGGATGGAAGGGAAGAGGGCGGGGGAGGAGGCAGAGGCTGCAGGAAGGCCTGAGATGCAGGAAGCAGCTGGGAGTGGGGGGAGGCTTTGTGCCTGAGTTGTTCTCTGGGTCCTAGGGTCCACAATGTTCATCATTTTCTGGGATCTGTGGAGTGAAGCCGTGCATCTGGATCTGTCATGGTCTAGGGGGTGGACCTTCACTCCCAGGCCCTGGCATCTGGGGAAGGGTAGAGGGCAACCCCAGGCCCCTTGTTGTGTATGTGGGGGTTGGGGGGAGCATCAAAACAGCTGCCAGGACAGGGAACGTATAGGTCACTGCCACCCTTCCCCCTCCCTCCCTACACACACTTGCACACAATGGCCAGAATCCTTTAGAGTAGAGATACAAGCTAGAGCTCTCACTGGTGAAACTCTGGCCCCAGGCCTCCAGAATTCCTCCTCCAAAACTCCTTCTTCCTGTTTGAGAGGCAGGAGTGCTCTAGTAAGGCCTTGAAGACAGGCATACCACCCCTTCTTTCCCAGCCTGGGTGCAGTGCAGGCAGGTGACAGGACACCCTCTTCAGAATTCCAGAGGGCAAAAGCCAGCTTCGGACTGCCACCTGGGTGATGAGGACCATCTCCTTTCTCTCTTCCCCTTCCTCCTCCAGCATAAGGCCAGCAACACTGGGCTAAGGTTTCACGCCTTAAAGGGTGCAAAATGTTCCCTATGGGAAATTGTTAAAATGCAGATTCCAGGGCAATCTGAATTTTTAAAATTTTCAAAGTGAACTATACTAGGAAGCTCCAAGGACCTTGAAGGAAATGATCCTTTGCCCCTCCCCACTATTCTCCCTCCACACCTCGGGTGAGCCTGCGCGTCCGGAGCACAGGCTCCGCGAGGGGAGGCCACGGCGGTGAGGGGCACATGTACTGCAAAAAAAAAAAAACCTATGAAGCCTCAAAAAACAGTCTCAGAGGGCCCCCATCAGATTTGAGGGTAGGTGGGAAAACAGGGAGGGGCTTCATCTGGAGTATAAAGATTACCTCTCCCTATAGAAGCCTCCAGGCTTTCTAGCAAGAACTGGAAAAGGCACACACCCTATTTTCTGTGTTCCATCCACTTTCACCTCAGTTTACCCTTTCAGAGCACAGAGAGGCTAAGGGATTTGTCCAGCGTCACACAGCTAGTAAGTGGTGGAGCCAGGATTTGAACTCTGGCAGCCTGGCTCCTGCGCCAGCTTTGGGAGCCACTCTATTCCACGTCAGAGGTAAGGAAGGAACTTCCATTCAAAGACCATCAGGCAGCTCCACAAAGGAAAAAGGAGAGAGAAAGAATGGCTAAATTACCCTGGGAGATAAGTAAGGATCTGAGGATCACAGCCTGAGGAATGAAAATTAGGTTCAAACCCTTCAGTTTGGGCGCAACCCTCCCCAAAGTAACCGCCCTCCTCACCCTCCCTGCAGGTGTGATTATTGCCTCAGGCAGGCAGGGACTGGGTGGAGAAGATAACAGCCATTCCCCACTCCTCTCACAGGCCAGCCAGCCTGGCGCCTGACCCCAGGGAAGGAGTGAGATGCTAAAGCACTCATTGCTCCATAAAAGCTTCTTCGGGAATACTGGCAGGGGGTGTTGCCCAGGAAATAATGATCCCACTCGTTAGCCTCAGTCCTCCGAGCTCTGGGCTGGCTCCAACTGTCCTGCATCCCAAAGTACTTAAAAGAGTTTCACTCTTGGAAGTCTCAGGGCGAGGGGGACGCAAGCAACCCGATTCTAGTCCACTCCAAGCTGCTGCTGGAGATGTTGTTGGGGGTCGGGGTGGGGAGCGTCCACGGGGCCTGACTTGGTTCCCAGCTCCTCCTCCCATCCTTTAGAAGCTGGCTTCCCCACCTGGCCAGAAGCATGGGCACAGACCCCTTGGGCTGGGACCAGTTAGAATGACTCACCAAAGGGTGTGGGAGATTATGGGCAGAACACCCAGGGGCCTGTGCCCTCCCCCAATCCACACAAGAGCTTCTGAGGACACCGCCCAAACCCCCAACTAGGTGAGACTTCTGTCTCACCCAACTTCTAGAGTGAGGTTGAGCGGGGGCGGGGCCGGGGGCGGGGGGGCGCTGTGGGTGGGGAGGTTCAAGTCCCAGACTTGAGCTTGGAAACCCAAGTCCCAAAGCTCCTGCTCAGAACCCAAATCTTTCCTCTCCGTTACCCTCAGGATTGCCAGCCTCAAGATCCAGTCCTGTGGTTCCTGGCCCCTCCCTGTCCCAATATTCAGGGTTCCCAGGCGGCTTCCCACACCCCATCCCCCACGCTCTTTTGCACGTGCTAACCAGTTTATATCCCACAAAACCCACACACATCCCAACAGTGGAGAGGTGAGAGGATTCCTTTCGACAGCCCTTCCAGGCAAGGGCAGTGGGTAGTGGGAGACTGGGGAGAAGAGGAAGAGGATGGAAGGGAAGAGGGCGGGGGAGGAGGCAGAGGCTGCAGGAAGGCCTGAGATGCAGGAAGCAGCTGGGAGTGGGGGGAGGCTTTGTGCCTGAGTTGTTCTCTGGGTCCTAGGGTCCACAATGTTCATCATTTTCTGGGATCTGTGGAGTGAAGCCGTGCATCTGGATCTGTCATGGTCTAGGGGGTGGACCTTCACTCCCAGGCCCTGGCATCTGGGGAAGGGTAGAGGGCAACCCCAGGCCCCTTGTTGTGTATGTGGGGGTTGGGGGGAGCATCAAAACAGCTGCCAGGACAGGGAACGTATAGGTCACTGCCACCCTTCCCCCTCCCTCCCTACACACACTTGCACACAATGGCCAGAATCCTTTAGAGTAGAGATACAAGCTAGAGCTCTCACTGGTGAAACTCTGGCCCCAGGCCTCCAGAATTCCTCCTCCAAAACTCCTTCTTCCTGTTTGAGAGGCAGGAGTGCTCTAGTAAGGCCTTGAAGACAGGCATACCACCCCTTCTTTCCCAGCCTGGGTGCAGTGCAGGCAGGTGACAGGACACCCTCTTCAGAATTCCAGAGGGCAAAAGCCAGCTTCGGACTGCCACCTGGGTGATGAGGACCATCTCCTTTCTCTCTTCCCCTTCCTCCTCCAGCATAAGGCCAGCAACACTGGGCTAAGGTTTCACGCCTTAAAGGGTGCAAAATGTTCCCTATGGGAAATTGTTAAAATGCAGATTCCAGGGCAATCTGAATTTTTAAAATTTTCAAAGTGAACTATACTAGGAAGCTCCAAGGACCTTGAAGGAAATGATCCTTTGCCCCTCCCCACTATTCTCCCTCCACACCTCGGGTAGAGGAGGGCCACACAGAGACCACAGTGGTTGGATTGCCAACCCTCAATATTTAGTGGGAGTGCGGTTATGTGGGATGTGAAAAGCCACAGTCAGAGGTTGGGATGGAAGGGTTGAACTGTACAAGCCAGCGTCTGGGGTCAGTGGAAGGCTATGGCGAGGCGCGGGCAGGGGAGGGGAATACAATCGCGTGGAGGGGAAGGGGAGGGCTCACAGGCTCCGGCCCCGGAAATCCGATCCCTTTAGGACCCAGAGGTGCCAGTCCCCAGCGGCGGCTGCGAGAAGGGCAGCCGCTTGGTCTCCGGCAGCCGCCGCTCGGGCAGAGCCAGAGAAAGACCGAGGCTCGGGGCGCGGGGGGGGGGGGGGG